AGCGCCAGCCAGACCGCCCACAACAGAGCCGAGCGCACCACCGCCGATAGCCTCTCCAACTGCATCACCAATCTTGTTGGCCTCGGGATTGGACTGTCTACCCTTGAAGCCAGACTGGCTCTGCTGTGCAGCGTTGCCCAAGGCGCCAAGGACACCGCCAATGGCACCCGAGCTCTGGGAAGTGTTCATGGTTGGCAGTCCAAGCGGCTTGCCACATCCATGACCGTGATCGTGCACGCCCTCCTTGTGGTTGCGGCCTTGCTCAACGCCGTCGCGGGACAGCTTGTTGCGCAAGTCATCCTTCTCGCGCTCGCTCTGCTCATGCCACCATCGCTCGACTTGCTCGAACATGGCACGACGTCCATCAGATGCTCCGTCCTCGCCGTAGTCGCGGAGGGCTGGGTGGTGGAACACACCGTTGACGATTCGCTCGTTGGTGCGGCGGATGTCGATGTTATCATCATCCCAGCACGCGACAATCTGAGGGACGACCCACTTGAGCACAGCGCTTGCGACCTTGCCAGCTGGCTCGTTGAGCACATTAGAAAAGTGGTCCTTGCTGAGCATGGAGTGGGTAGGATCGGTGCAGTGGTCATCTTGGAAGACATTCAGTTGCTGGGCTTTGCTGGACTCGATGATCTCGCTCGAGCCAGTCTTGAGCTCCTCCTTGATCTGGCTGATGATCGGGACAACAAAGGGCGCCATGAGAGAAAAGACGAAGATGGTGACCTGGTTCTGCACTTGCTCGATCAGCTCCGGAAGAACGGGAATCTTCTCAATGGCCTCGGAAATTTGCATAACAAGGCTGTCGTGAAATTCCATGAGAGGATAGATCTGCTTGGTGATCTCCTCCATCTGTCGAGTGAACTCCTCTGGCTCTTTCGGCGAGATGTGCATGTTCTCCAAGCGGGCTGCCTGTGCGTTGGCTTGCAATTGGTCAGCCTTGCCTTTCTGATCAGCATCTCCGAGCAGTCCTGGTGGGAGCTTGTCGAGCAGCTCCTTAAGCAGACTCGTATCAGCGTTTTGGGATTGCTGCATGGTGTTCTCCAGCTCGTCCAACTCGAATTGAGTCGCCTTGTCAGTGAATTCTCCCATGACAGAGTGCAAGAAATCCGTGCCACCGAACGTGCCTGTGATGACCGGGTAGACAGGACCGCGCGCTCCACGAAGTTGGATCTGAGCACGGCGACCGACGTGTGGGAAGATATCGCGCTCGCCCATTTCGATCAAGGCCAGCTCAGTGTAATTGCTGTGTGCAGAGAAATCTTCAAGACAGTGACAGGCCGTTCCAAGCAGACGGAGAGCCTCGTAGAAGTCCTTCTTGTCATTGCTGTACTTGTATTGCCGACCAAGCTCGATGCAGCGCGTCAACAGCTGGCGAACCATGCCTGACGAAGTTGTGATACCCAAATCTTCTGAAGCAATGTAGTTCTTGAGACCGGTGCGTTCATCGACTGAGAGCTCGCGGCGCTCATCAATGGGCCCGCGGAGACGACGATCGTACTGTCGGGCATCTTGGTTGTCGGCGTAGTCCTTTGGGTTCTGCAAATATCAGGATCAGCATGTCTCTTCGACAAGTCTACGCACTCAAGGTGTATCTTACATCAATGTGCTCCTCCGGCCTGTAGCAACCCAGACGCTCCTTGGTAACCTCAAACTCGCCAGTGCCGTAGCCAAAGCTCATGAAGCCCAAGATCCACAGCAGAAGACGGATAGCCTCAGCAGACACATACTTGACAGTGCCCACATCGACAGCCTGACTGTAGTCGCGCAGCCAGTTGCCAAAATATGTCCGCTTCACATCAAGCTTGCTGAACTTCTTGCCGCCCATGGCGCGAGCCGTGAGGAGCGTGAGGAGGGTATCTTCGATGTCTCCATGTCGCCAATTCTGTCCCTCAATCTTACTGAGGCTGGCGATGTTGCCGGCGCCGAACGCATGGGCGTGCCCCGCGTAGAGGACAACCAGCAGTGCCACAATAGGCAGCCAATTTCGTGCCATGATGGCGGGGTGTGTCGGTGGTTTTGTCGGCGCGGGAGTGGAGGGTGCGGTGATGTTGGATGCGAGCAGGAGAGATGTCGTGAGTGAAGATGTGTTGAGGAGCTGTTGCTCACACCACCAGCCGCTAAGAAAAGGCGCGTTGGAGCTGGAGCAGGACTGGTTCACCGCCGTCGACAAACAATTCGCTGCCTGTGCTGCACCCTGAAACACAGCGTGGAGGGGGGAGCGCTTGATGTCACTGCCAAGACTGCCATCTTCTCCTCGCGAAGAACCATTCTTCACCCACCAAAACCCACTTTCACATGCAAAGACCAAGCGCGGACGGCGCGCATCGAATCCGAGCAAGGTCGACGAGATATCGGGATGTCAAACACGAAATGACTATGATGCTCAGCTCTTTCGCCCGAGCTGTGCAGCTCCATCCCGCATCCTGCGAACGTCGCGTGGAGAACGCGTCCTCGTCCAATAGTTGACTACTCAGGAGAACGCAATACTGCTTGGCTTCCTCTATCTGACTACTGACGAGCATGGTGGATTGGGAATATGGTGGAAAGACGCCAGTCGCCCGTCTTGTTGGCCTTAGCTTGACATGAGACGATTCCCGAGAATATTCACATGTTTAATCTGTACAGTATACCCTGCTGAAGACAAATTCCTTCAACTGAATCGAAATCACAGAGACCGCTTCCGCCGCACAAACTTCAGTCCGCACAGCAATGTCCAGTCCCTTGAAGAAGCAAGATCTAGCCCTTGAGCCAGTCAACTAAGCAAGACCGCTGCCCCATCGCAATACAGCCTGCGGCTATGCTGCACGCGTCTTGATGTGCTGTCGCACGACGCCAGCCAGCCACCTTCCGATCGATTCGAAATCAAAATGGCCGTCCAGCCACTTATCCAAGCATGCCAGAAAGATCGTGACCAGCATCATGCCCATCATACCCCAGATCCAAGTCGCCTGCACCCCCGGCGAATATGGTCGCTGCCCATTGCGCAGTCGTTGAAGCCACGCCAGCATAATGTCTCGCTGACATGGCCATGATCCTGTTCCAGCGACCATCTTGCTGAGTGCGCTGTCATCAGGCCATATCTTCGGCACGATCGTCCACGTGCGATTGATGAGAGGAATGCGCATCTCCAGCCCTGTATGGGTATACATGTCTACGATGTATCTCGCAAGCTGATAAAAGACCGGCTTGACGATGCAGAACGTGGTGATTGAGATGAGGCCGAACCCAGCAAACGGCAAGACCAGGATGTAGATGCCAAATATGGCTTTTGTGCTCTTGATATCCTCCGCCTTTTCCCGTGTTGCCTTGATCCTCTCTTCTGTCCAGTCCTTGCTGATGCGACCACATTCGGCGTCGTTGGTTGCTGGTTGCTTTTCTGTCTCGCGAGCCAATACGCCTTTTTGCTCGTCCATGACTGTGAATTGGTCCGTCTGCGCAAGTGAACAATGTGAGAGACTGGGATTGTCAAAGCTTCGGTGGCAGTAGAGGGATTTTGGATGAGAGTCGAAGCGGAGAATCGGGCGCAAGTCAAACTTATAGTGCTGCGGTACGTTGCAAGAAAAAAGTGAGCTCGTTTTCTGGCTCAGCTACAGACAGAGTTTCCGAGAGCCAAAGATTCACACATTCGGCGGCAGCTGGTTTCTGCTGACTTGTCGGCGCGTAGCGGACGGATATGGTATGTTCCATAATATCGCAGACACTATGGTAAATGAGTAATGGCTGTTCTACCATCACGGGAAAGAGCACTGGGCAGAACTGCTCAACCTTAGCTTCGTTGTCGCTCTGAATCGCTGTCCAGCACGAAGCCAACAGTGCTCCAGATGGAGCAATTACGCTGTGGGGGCGTACCAGCGAAGTATCAGAAGTCAGCATGCTTCTTTCCATCCTAATTGGAGCTCATGCTGTGGCTTTGCAACTCGCGTACCAGGAGCGCCAAACATCCACTGGAGAAACGACGACGTGACAGAGGAGCACCTTCGCTCGTGCATTGTTTACACCCACCCTGACACCGATAAGCAGGTGCAGCGGCGGTCTACCTTCATATCTCGTGTGTTCCCTTCCCACCCTCTCTTCTCTCTCCAAGAACCCTAATACCAGCTCACGGACCTACGACCATCACTATCACTAATGGCGCCTACATTCATTTTGGACAGAGACACCCTCCTTTCTGGCCTGCTCAAATGGTCGTAGCTCGACCCCGTGTCCTGGTATTGGCCAGTACTCATCGAATTTCCGGTGACGTTTCTCGTCCGGACCCTATGGCTCAAGTCAATCATCAAGAAGTATGAGCTCTCCCAGACATGGGACATATGCTTCTCCATAGGGGTCTTTCTCTTGCTGAAGGCAATCATGGGAGCCGTTGAGAAGGTCGGCGGTGCCTTTTGGTCCGCCATACGACTCAACGAGTAACCATCCAGAAGAGAAAGAGCTTGACTGCCTGTACGGGCAGCAGTCAACGCTCGTGACGACACTCGAACCCGGAATTCGAACAAGGCAACCCCTCCGGAGCCTCTGGACAGTTCGGCTGTCCACTCCGCCAGTGGGGATTCCTTGCCGGAGAACAACCTCAACGTGGTGGCAAGGTGGCAACGTGCCTCTGGCGCGGCGAAGTTCTCTCCTCGCAGATCTCTGGATATCATGGCACTCCGTGAGCCACTGGTCATTGCTCTCTCTCAGGTGAGTACCTTTCCAGGCTTTCAGAGAACGAAGAAGCTCATTAGCTCAGCTCGGTGCAAGCCTTGCTTTTTCACAGATCTCCGAAATCGTGGGACTGTGCAAGCCAACGCCCATGGCGAGCTACCAGGATGGCGTCCTCTAGAACACGTGGAAGCACATCAATTCAGCTCGATACAGTGGTGGTTGACCCGAATCAAGACTGCAATCAACCAATTGCAGGTGACAAAGATCCGCAAATGCACTCCTCGCATTCAGTGGACTGCCGAACAATTGGACCCACGCAAGTTCTTTGACATGGTCCTCGAGGATCTCCTGACCAATGCGTCACCACAGCCCGGTCGGAATTTCGTCAAGCAGGATGCGAAGGTTACGAACAGGAAAAAGTGCATGAAATTCCTCGTCAACATAGTGTGACCGGAGATATTCGACGATTCACCACAAGTGTCGTGCACGAGGACACATTAAACTCAGCAGAGAAGGACAACTTCTGCGCAGATGTTGCCACCATAATCAACAATTTTCCGAGGACTGGCAGAAACTCTTCAATTCAGCCCGACCCAGTTCTCCCGCCAGCCCCGATCTCCGAAAGTCATGCCACCTCATGTGCCACGAGGCATGGAGCCCGTTCGAGACATTGTAGTCCGGGACTTGCGGAAGCATGGCAAACTAACCGGCCCATTCCTTTCCTCGGCACCGTTCTCTCGACATGATGGGATCCTGCGAGCTACGAGGGATGGCAACGTGTCAAGAGTTTGTACTTCAAGACTTGCGGAAGCAGATTCAAACAGTCGGCCGACTCCTCTCACCACCACAGATGTCTCGAGGAAATGAGACTCTCCAAGCCACTGTGTATCGCGCCATTCCTGTTACGCATCCGCGTGGATCTGCAGAAAGAGCTGGACCCGGGTAAATCTTCTCTTCTTACGCCAGTGCTCTCCTCAGCGCGCATGCAATGCCTGAATATCCCATCTGAAGCTCTGGTCGGTTCGTGCTGGTCAGCAAAGCAGAGCGACAATGGAGCTAGACTGATGTCTCTCATAGTCTTCGAATATTGGATGGACAAAATCGTCGGCTCCGTTAGCATCGTGCTGGACACCGAAGCAGAGCAACAACAAAGCCTGGTTGATGCTCCGCTCGACTTCACGAATATCGGACTGTTGAATTATCAGCTCCATTGGCTTCACGCCGGACCATGAGCCAGAGCGACCAAGAAGCTGCAACGATACTTGACGCAATCTTGCGATTCTTGAACTGCTTGATCGCCAGCTCTGTCGGCTTTATGCAACAACGCATGCCTGGGCGAGGACAAAGGTGTGCCAATGCTCCGGTTGCCTCTGCGTACGCTGGAACGATGGCTTTTCAGCTCCATTTGCGTCATGCTGGACAACAAATCAGAGCGACCACCAGCTTTGTCTGTGCTTCGCCTATCTTCAAGAGCCTGGAATGTTGGAGCGCCACCTCTGTTGGCTTCATGATGGACAGCGGACCAGAGCTGCTGCAGATCTGCATCAATGCTTCGCTCGGCCTCGCGAGGGTTGGATTGCTTGGTCGTCAGTCCAGTTGGCTTCATGTTAGGGAATGATCTGGAGTGAGTGCATGCATTGTGCCGATGCCTCAGTCGATCGATTGCACGCCGAGTCGGCGCGGGCTGGACCGTTGGCAATGGAGGCACGAGCGTGGCCTCAATATGGTTGGCCGGTAAAGTGAGGCCGAATGGAGGATTGCAATGCTTGGTTGCACTGCCCTGCAGGCTGCAGATTGCCGCAGCCTGACTCATCAAGAATCCTTCGTGTTGCTTCGGCGCAACAGGCACCAACAACCACAATACAATTCCTTTTGCGACGACTCGACCTGTTTCCGATACCTTCGAAAGGCGCGCACTCGGGCTTATCGTAATTCCAACAGCTCTGCGACATCTCCTCCACAGCTGCGACTCGCACTGACGCCAAGCCAATAACAATCGAACACGCATCGCCACAAGTTTTCCACTGCTGTACTGGTTTCAAAAATCTGCGCCGCCATCACAATGGCCTCTCTTCCAGGCGACTTCCTGTCGTCGCCGGCACCAGACATCACAGTTGATCGCATCAACTTCGCTGAGAGCACTCTACCATGTTACGCAGGCCTCTACGCCGTGATTCTCGACAATGTACTCAGCCCAGAGGAGTGCAAGCAGTTCGTCTCCGCAGCCGAAGCAACAACGAATGGCCAATGGGAGCGGGCCATGATCAACATCGGAGGTGGTCGCCAAGAATTGCACACTGACGCTCGGAATTGCGGGCGCATCATCTGGGATTCTCGCGAGATCGTTGCCAAAATTTGGAAGCGCATCGAGCACTTGCCGGAAATGCAGGAGATCGTCCGGCTGGAGAATGTTCCAACGATCTTCGGAAATGGTCCTGCGAAGCGAGGTGAGATCTGGAAGTTCACTCGACCGAACGAGCGCATGAGATTTCTCAAATACGTGGGAGGAGAGTACTTCCGGCCTCACTGTGACGGGGCATACGAGACACCGGACAAGAAAGAGAGGTCGTACTTTACAATGCACTTGTATCTGAACAGTGGGGGAGCGCTGTCCAAGGAGGAGCTCGCCAAGCTGAGTGCTGAAGAGCGCAAAAACGTGCTGATCGGCGGTGCGACCACTTTCCACAGGCCGAACATGGATCGCAGCAAAGACATTGATGTCCTGCCCAAGACTGGCCGCATCTTGATCTTTCAGCATCGGAATCTGCTTCACTGCGGAGATGATGTACTGCGCGGGGTGAAGTACACGATGCGGACGGATTTGATGTACACGTGGGAGGCTTCGGACAACGGCCTGAAGAGCAAAATGCCGGCACTTGATGATTGATTTGATTTGCAGCTCAAGTGAATGATAGTGGTCGTGGCCAGGTGCATTCTCCGAGAGAGCGTGTCGCCCAGCGAGTACGTAGTTAATCTACCAAAATTGCAGATTTCGAAGTCATTGTCAGTAGTATTCTTGCTCTCACCAGTGCTCAGAGTTCGTACTCACCTTCAAAAAAGAAAATTGAAGCGCCGTCCTCACAAGAATAATCGGAATCGAATGATACCCGGAACTTCCGCCCACCATATCTCGCGACAGGTGTAGATGGCAGAAGCTCAGATACGCTGCGTATTGCACTAAAGTGATCGTACCTCTTCTTCACAGAAAGAGCATACACACAATCTTCGCACCGGCTCCCATAGCCACAGAGGGTCCAAACAAAGTCCGGCCCTTGTGGCTGAGATTTCTGATGCCGAGTGCAACCATGAAGTCATGGCAGGCCCTCACGAGCAGTGATGCCGAACGCCGCCGCGGAGGGCAGGCATTGGGCAGTGCAGGTTGTTGAAAATTACTCCGAATTTCTCATTTGCCAGAAAGACTTGCCAGGCGCGCGAGCGCGAGGTTTTCGTCGGTGTGTGAGCAAAGAAACGCAGCTTTTGTGAGGACGGCGCTTGAAGAGAGAAAAGAAGAAGGTGGTGATTCGGAATTTGGAAGTTTGAGAGAAATGCTAGTGCGGCTCTGCGGGAGGGGCCGGTAGAACTATGACTCGCGTGTTCTGCCTGCCTGCCCCTGCGTGCTGGTTTGAGAGGAGCTGGAGGAGACGCGTGCTTGAATACATGTACGTTCACATGTACCATTGCTCTTCACGATGTCATTGTCTATTGTGATGTGAGAGTTCACTCCGCCCTTTCGGTTCGACTACGAGCTCCGTCACATATCTTCACGTCGAGCAGCTTGTCACCGGATCGCCGCCATTCTTCCCACCAGGTCCTTCCACCGCACGCGTTCGTCTTGATACAGATTCGTCCATTGGAGAAGGAATATCAGGATGGACTTGTATGGTCTCGCCGTTCCGAGGCAGACACGGTCTGCGAGGTGGGCAGAGTTGAAGACGGCATTTTGGGCGCTGGCACTCCGGGTCCCCAAGGCCTTCATGATGGTCTCGTGAAGAGCAGAATATGGGCCGTAGCTAAGTCCACATCCCGAACATCGGGCTATGTGCAGTATTCCGCTCATTGCTGTTCATTCTTCAGTCCTGTTATCTTGGTGGCTTGAGATCGAGGACGGCGGCCGCACTTTTGGCTACGGCCGAAGGGCGGCCATCTGCTCTCTCGATCTTGCAATGGAAGAACTCTCCTACACGAGAACACAATTGACTAATCACACAGAATATACAGCTTTTCCGGTGTCTCTTCGATCTTGCCGACAAGCCGGATGAGGGACTTGCCAAACCTGGGAAAGTCAAATCACGCCTTGGCCCCGGCCCATGACGACGAGCTGCATCTCTCCACTTGTTCCTGCATTTCCTCTCGTCACGAAGTTGAGCCTCTCGGCCTCTGCAGGCATTGTGGACTGCATCTGTTGACAGTTCCGAGCCTTCGTCAGTATATAATGGCACCACCGAGGTAAGTCGTGGTCTTGGTTGATCTCTATCCTCACCCAGCCAGGCACGATGAGGGTCAGCCAGCTTTTTGCCGCGAGCAGCTATCTGCTTTGCGCTGCATCAACTCAAAGCATCTTGTTCCCGTCCAACGATAGCAAATCGACTTGGGAGCTTGGTTCAGAGTTCGTACTTTCACGGGAGCACGATCGGCTTCAGATCAGCAGCCAAACACTGGACATCTGGAGCACGGCAACGGACAAACCTTTCATTAGAGCCAGTGCTGGAAATGACTCCGTCACTGGCTCGAACGGCGCTTTCAATATTACCGAGATAGACATCGATACAACAGATGGCCAAGACATCGATGACGTCCAGCTTGTGGATTGGGATGGGACAGCAACTGGCAAGGCAGCGCGAATCAGTGGTCAGCTGACATTCAAAGGACAAGTGAGCGGGCAATACGCTTTGTACTTCTGGGTGCCCAGTGATCTCTCGGACCGCATTGCCTTTTACCTCGACATTACATCTGCCACCGAGGACCCGTTGAAGAAGCTCTACTTCAGCTTCACCTCGAATGCCGGCGAAGACTTCTACGGACTTGGAGGGCAGGCGTCATTCGCCTCGCTCAAGAACCAAAGCATTCCGGTCATTACACGAGAGCAAGGTGTCGGACGAGGCGATGAGCCAATTACCTCTTTGGAGAATGCCAACAACTCGATTGCAGGCGGCAGCTTCTACACAACCTACACGTCTGTTCCTTCCTACATCTCGACTGACGGCAAAGTTTTCTATCTGTCAGAGAAGAGTACAGGATACTCGAACTTCGATTTCACTGAGCCAGATGCTGTTACGATTCGGTACGATTCATTGAGTGTGGATGGAGCCTTTACCAGAGCTGAAAATCTGTTCGATGCCATTGAGGCGTTAACTGCATATACTGGAAGACAGCCGGCGTTGCCAAGGTGGGTGGACGATGGTGCCATTCTCGGTATCCAAGGCGGCCAGGACAAGGTCAATCGAATTGTCGAGCAAGGTCTTCAGCTGGGCGCGCCAATTGCTGGTGTCTGGCTGCAGGACTGGGTCGGCACTCACAGCCAAGTTGGACCATACTTGAACATTTCCAGACTTTGGTGGAACTGGGAGAATGACGATGTTCTCTACCCAACATGGACAGAATTCGTTCAGAATCTTCGTGATCAGTACAATGTCCGCACATTGTCGTACATCAACACGTTCCTCACGAACGTCTCCACGAAAGACACTGGCTTCCGCAGGAACCTGTACGATGAGGCGAGCGCCAACCACTACTTTGTGCAAAACACGACAACCAATTCCACGGCCATCATCTCAAGTGGCCCTGGCCTTCAAGCAGGAGTCGTCGATCTCACCAACCGGTACCTCCGTGACTGGTACGAGGATGTATTGCGTCAGCAGGTTTGGAACTCGAATATTTCTGGCTTTATGACCGATTTTGGCGAGTACACGCCTCTGAGCGGAGATGTCAAAGTTTACGATGCAGTCAGCGACGCGTTCTTCTACCACAATGCTTATCCGACACAGTGGGCAGCGTACCATCGAGCTCTGGTCGAGGACCTTGGCCTGCAGGATGAGGCAGTTTTGTTCCATCGCTCTGCTGCACAGTCCTCTCAAAAGTACATGAATCTCTTCTGGGTCGGTGACCAAAACGTTGACTGGGGCGTCAATGATGGCATCAAATCTGTCGTCACCATCATGGTACACATGGGCTTTTCCGGCTATTCACAGCAGCACTCCGACGTTGGTGGCTACACGACCGTGTTGACATACAACAACTACAACATCACTCGGTCGCCTGAGCTTCTCGGCAGATGGGGAGAGCTCGCCGCCGTCAGCAGCGCCGCTTTCCGTTCCCACGAAGGTAACATCCCCTCCGTCAACGCGCAGTTCTACAGCAACACCACTACCTACGAGTACTACGGCTACAATGCGCGACTTTTCGCCTCGCTGGGCAAGTACAGACGCCATATTTTGGAGACCGAGAGCGAGCCAAAAGGATGGCCGCTCCTCAGACCTGTAGTATTGGAACACCCACAAGATCTGAGAGCTCGTAACATTAGCTACCAGAGCTTCTACTTGGGCCAGCATCTCTACGTTGCACCAGTCCTCGATCCTCAGACCTTCGAAGTTACTGTGTACCTGCCAGCTGGAAACGGCAACAGGACTTACGAGCACGTCTGGACTGGCACGAAGTACAATGGGGGCCAAGACGTGACTGTTGCCGCGCCATACGGAAAGCCAGCCGTCTTCCTTGTCAATGGTGCGAGAACGCCGGAGCTCCAGCCCTTTTTGGATTTTGTGAAGGCAGAGAATGGCACGAAATTGAGCGTGGAGTAGATGCACAGTACACCTGCGAACAAATGACCCCAAGTGGACTTGATAATGCAGCTAGCGCTAACAACTTTGATAGAAGTACTTGATCTCACACGCGCAACAATCAATAACGAAATCCTCAAGGAGCACTTTTCTTTGCCAATTCATTACGCCATTCTTTCGAGGTCTCAGCTACGTTCTGCAGCGCCCAGTTACCACGAGGTTCATCAATGTGGCCGGTGCAGGAACACAAGCTGATAGATCGCGGAACGGCAACCTTCATCGCTACCTAAACCACTGCCGCGAGTAACGACTTTTCCAGGTCTCGTCGTCCTGACACGACTCTTGCGATCAAGCCGGGCTTAACTGAGCGAGACCCGCTTTATGGCTGTTGCGATCTGCTACCTATGGCCCAGTCTTGCTACACTGGGACTGCAGAAATGCAGCACTTGAAGCCAGCCAAATCGTTTCTGAACCACACAGGCGTACGCACAGTATGCAACGTCAGGCTAAGCTTTGCGGCTGACTGCGAGTCAAGCCATGACCCGCTTGCGCAATTCATGTACATAACAAGAAACCAAGCGAGGGGTTTGACTTCATGTGCCTGTTTCACATCTTGCATATGGAGCTCACTCCGCATCGGCATTCTCACACTTCTGGCGATGTGAGACTCTTGATGCACCACGGAACCTATTCGGTTGCCGCATGAGATCGTTGTACAAGCGAAGTTGAAGCAACACAGGACCAATTCACGATGGTAAGCGCACAAGAGTGCGAAGTCGCGCTCCAGTAACTCAGTTCAGCATTGACTTTCATTGCTGAAGAGCAACACAGCACCTAAAGCAGGCCAAAATTTTAACTGGTCGAGAGTTGGCTGGCTGCGCAGTGACAAGATAAGCTCATTACGGAAATCTGGTCGAAGAGTCAGCGAGACTGGCTGATCCTGCGAAGCTTCAAGACTTCGCCGCAAATGGCCTTCGGACCCAACTCACTGGAATCTCCAAGTTGTGCGATGCTTTTCTCAACCTTATGGAACGATAGCTTCAGAGAGGTACTATTTACCATAGTCATTCACCACTTTCCAGCGTCCACTACGACACTGCGCATCTGATCGACTGCGCTGGATACCACATCAAGACTTTCAGCCACCAAGCAAGTTATCTTGCAGTCCGTGAAACATGCAGTGGTTCTTGGTGTGACAAATCTACGCCACAATCTGGTCCTGCCTATTTGATGTTCTATGACATCTTCGCTTGTGCAGAGGTCTCTCTACAGTTGTCTATTGTCTGGCTACGGTAGCTTCATACACGACTCAAAATGCTATAATTAGGTGTGAGGCAAAGCTGGGGTTTTGTCAAAATTCTCCGAGTGTGTATCAGCTTCCACTGCAGCGGGACGATCTCCTTCTCTATTCGCTGGTATGCTCCAGTGTCGAAGCACAGGACGGTGTGGCGAGGACGCAGTATACCACAAAAAAAAGACGATTAAACTAAGCGAACAATGTCCCTGGATGGAACCATCTCCGCCGGCAGACGGTCATGGAGCAGAAGAGAGAAGCCCAATTACGCTCGCCAACATAACAGACCTTTGGTTTACCAACAACTCCGCCATCAAAGCAAGGCAATGTCCCGCAACTCAACCCAAAGATCGCGCCGCATGTGGTCTCCTCGCCCACCGCCTATGGGGACATGTGCTGTGCCCGCAGAACATTGTGCATGTGAAACCCCAACGATGATGCATCCCGCACACTTGACTAAGTCTCTTGCGGAGACCTCTAGTGCTCAACAAGTGCACCGGCGGCATGCGTGTGCCAACGGTGCCGGAAGTTTGAGCTAACAGTCAAGATGGCTTTGGTTGTTTTTGCTGGGCATGATATATGATGAATATAAGAGGCGGAGGCAAGCCACCTTTCAATCGCTCTGGCAGAGCAGCTTCGAGGTGCTAGCTCCCTTGTTCCTTTCGTTCCAGTTCGTTTCGCTGCTGCCGTTCGCTCGATCGATTACCTACCTTGTGGAAGAAGATGAAGTTCTCCCCAGCCTTCGTTGCCCTAGTGGCACCACTGGTCCTTGCCCAAGATTTCGTAAATCTTGGCGACGTCGTCGACGCGCCATTGCAGGCGGCTGGAGGCGTTCTCAACGATGCTCCTGTCGTCGATGACTTGTTCCCGCGGAAGAAGTTCCGCTTTGCTCGTGGCGATGGAGCTGGCTCCAACTTTGGGCTTCCTGAATCGAAGGACAAGAGACAGTACTATCCTGAGCCGTGCTACGGAGACTACTGTGAGTTCACTGCTATACAAATCTTGCATTCTGAGATACTGATGGAAATCTGCAGGCGAGGATACCACCACGACTACTAGGTCGACTCGCCCTCCACGTTCGTCCTCTACCACCGTTACAGTCAATCCTGTCACGCCAACTTCTACTTCCACCCGTTCTTCTGGAGCGACGACTCAGACAAGCTCCGGCGGGTCTTCCACTCAATATCCTTCCCTCTCGTCTGCGACGACCTCTGTTCGATCTTCCACTCAGAATACTTCATCTGGTGCTAGTTCCACTGGAGCTTCCACTTCTACTAGCGAATCTGCAGTTCAGTCTTCTACGCAAAGTACTTCTTCTCGCTCGAGCTCTACTGGACTTTATACTTCCACAAGCGGATCCACAGTTCAGTCTTCTTCGCAGACGAGCTCTCGACGTACTTCTTCCACTAGGCCCTATACTACATCTTCTCAGACAAGCTCCGCACGATCTTCGTCTGTCTCCTCGCAGACGAGCTCCGGTAGCCCTCAATCCTCGACTTCTCAGTCAAGCTCGGGACGCACTTCCCAGACAAGCTCTGCAGGACCTTCGTCCTCGTCACAAACAAGCGTTGGGTCAACTTCGTCTACATCTTCTCAGACGAGCTACCTGCCAACTCAGTCTACTTCTGCCCGACTGAGCTCCGCAAGCACCTCGTCCACCTCTCAGACGAGCTCTGTTCGCTCTTCTACTGCTTCCGAGTCAGCTACCAGATCCTCGTCTTCTTCTCAGACAAGCAGTGCTCGTTCGTCTACCGCCAATCGAAGCTCCACTCAATCTGGTTCTAGCTCTTCGCAGACGACCTATGCCCCGAGTTCATCTACGTACTCTCAAACGAGCTCTGGCAGCTCATCTACTTCTACCGGATCCGCCACAAGTTCATCTTCGTTTTCAGGCATGACTTCGATTGGCTCGTCCACATCGAGTGAGAGCTCCACTCGTCCTGTCTCTACCTCTTCCCGTACGAGCTCTGTTCGCACTTCGTCTTCAACTGGCCAAACGAGCCCGGGCGGCTCATCCACTTCGATTATGACCTCAACTGGATCTTCTTCCCTGTCATCGCAGACTAGCTACTCTCAGTCAACCACCTCGGGCACTCGATCCTCAAGCAGATCTTCATCTTCTTCACTCGAGACTAGCCCAGGTCAGTCTTCAACTTCTACTGGATCGGCGACCAGATCTTCCTCTACGTTGTACCAAACGACTACGGCACAGCAGTCTACTACGACTGGATCTGCCACCGGGTCGTCTTCGATCTCTACGCAGACTAGCTCGGGTGACTCGTCATCCTCAACGAGATCGCCTTCGACTTCTTCGCAGACAAGCTACTCGCAGTCACCCAGCTCGGAGTCTGGAACCTCTACATCGTCGCAAACCACTTACAGCCGATCAACTACATCAGGTTCTGGGCTCTCGTCGACGACTGATGCTTCCGCTAGCTCCTCTATGACTTCCTCTCAGTCGACTCCGATTCAATCTTCCACTTCGACTGAATCCTCGACTAGATCCATTTCAACTTCCCTGCAGACCAGCTACAGCCAATCTTCGAGTACAGGAGTGGGATCGTCATCGACAAGCGGATATTCAATGCAGCCGTCGACATCTACCACTGTCACCGCAGGACCTGTCACGTCGTCGATGAGCTCATCCCAGGGGTCTTCTTCAACCAACTCTGCCACTCGTTCATCCTCTAGTGTTGACACAAGCTCCACTGGACTGTCCTCTTCGACAGCTGTCTCCTCTTCGACTCAGACCGAGTATTCGTCGACCACTGGCTTGTCTTCCACTCGCGGCCCAAGCACGACTACTGGGATGTACTCTACCACTCAATCCTTATCGACCCAGCCCGGATCATCTTCGACGCAGAGCGAGTATTCGTCGAGCACTGGCTTGTCTTCAAGCACCAGCCTTTCCTCTACTCGCGGCCCAAGCACTACCACCGAATCGTATTCGTACACCAGATCCTCGTCAACGCAACCTGGATCCTCTTCAACTCAGACTCAGTACTCCTCGTCTACCGGCTTGTCATCAACCACTGGCTTATCGTCTACTCGTGGCCCTAGCTCCTCGTCTACTGAAACTTACTCCTCTACTCAGTCATCCTCGACGCAATCTGGATCTTCTTCTTCCGGCACCTACTCTACGACTCAGACTGAAGTATCCTCTACCACCGGCTTGTCATCAACTCGCGGCCCGAGCTCTTCATCCACCGAATCGTATTCCTACACTTCATCGTCGTCGACTCAGCCTGGATCGTCTTCCACAACTGCTCTGAGCTCCACTCGCGACGCATCTTCTTCGTCTACTGAGTTGTATTCTACCACTCAGTCCTCTTCTACCAAGTCTGCCTCCACCACTAACACCGCTTCGAGCTCGACTCGTGGCCTCTCTTCGTCGTCCATTGAATCGTACTCGACGACGCAGTCTTCTTCGACATTGCCATATACATCGTCGTCGACTCAATCCGCTTCGACTCAGACTGGATCGTCTTCTTCAACCCTCTCCACTTCAACGCAGACTGGCACCTATTCGTCAACTGAGACAGCTTCGACCAGTGGACTTTCTACGTCTATCAGCACCACTTCTCAATCTGAAACATCTTCTAGCACCGGACCTTCTTCTTCGTCCACCCAATACTTATCAACAACGACATCGTTCTCGGCATCAAGCACAGGAGGAGCGTCATCATCATCTTCCGAGACCTCCACACGATCTGAATATACCTCCACTAGCTCTTCGTCGCTCTCAAGCTCGAGTTCCGTATCCACATCGGACATCGTCTCAACATCGACACAGCCTGTGTCTACCTCAACACGCTCTTACTCGACTTCAAATACTGTTTCGACCACGGGTGGGGCTACTGAATCGACGTCTTCTCAGACTTCGTCGACCTCAACTCGTTACTCCACCTCCCAAACTGCTTCCACGTCCACTTCGGAGACGGTGGATTCATCAACAAGGTACCAATCAACCTCTTTGCAATCTTCCTCGACTAGACCTATGTCAACATCCACTTCTGGTTCTCTGTCTAGCACTACTCGACCTGTGTCGACGTCCACCCAGCTCTCTTCAACTGCGGGCGGCGAGACGACCTCCAGTCTTGTTTCTTCCTCTTCAAGCATTGTATCAACATCGACTTCTGAGCGACCTGGGTCTTCTTCGACTCAAGCTCAATCCACATCCACTCTTTACCAGTCGACCTCTTTGCAGTCTTCTTCCACTAGACCCATTTCGACATCAACTTCAGGAATTGTTTCCTCAACTACTCGACCTGTATCAACATCGACTAGGCGCTCTACTACTGCTGGTGGTGAAACGACCTCTACTCGCCGCTCCTCATCTTCGAGCGTTGTATCAACGACAACTTCTGGGCGACCGGAATCTACTTCGACTCGTGCTCAATCTACTTCATCAACTCGTGCTCAGACGACCTCCACTCGTGCTCAATCGACCTCCACTCGTGCTCAATCGACCTCCACTCGTGCTCAGTCGACCTCATCTCGCTCTGCATCGACCCCTACTCGCTCTGCATCCACTTCGGTGCGATCATCATCCACCTACGGCCCTTCATCGACTTCGACTCGTCTCACGTCTACTACTGCGGGCCCAGTCACGACCAGCGCCTCATCGACATTCAGAACCTCTACAAAGACGTCAGCCAGGACGACGACGACGACGACTCAAGCATATGGTGGAGGCTACGGAGGGAATGGAGGAAACGGAGGCTACGGCAACGGCAACGGCGGATATGGCAATGGCGGCTATGGCATCGGAGGCTATGGCAACGGTGGTTATGGATCTAACAAAGGCCACAACAAGGGAGGATACCGACCAGGACGTGGTAGAGGCTACGGCAAGGGACGTATGAATGGATGGAGGAACTGGTTCGGACAGTGGTGGTAATGGATTAACACTTGAAAACAAGGACTGACATCTCCGAAAACGACCTCTGATGGAAGCCGGGGAAGAGCTGCTTCTTCATGCAGCTCATTTGAACGAACACATTGAAAACAGGAAATGTAAATTACAGTAACGAATATGTCCAGCTGACACTGCCACTCATTTGAAAGGATAAGGAATATGTGAAAGGAAGAGGTGGGGAAATGAAATTATACTTCGATTCGAACGATTTATGTATGAACAACAGGAAATGGCGATTTTGTCTCTTCAGTCTTCTCTGTTCAGATCTCACAGTCCCTACGTGTGGACAATCAGCTGCACCTCCTGCACCATCGCATCAATGCTACTGACAGCCAAGAATAGAAGTGACGTTTCGCCAATAACATTCGGCACGTAAGTGGACCTTCTTGCTCAAGACGATTCGGTCCTCGCATGAACTCTACTGTGACAGCGTGTGAGAAAGTGAGACATTGCCGGTATGGTTGGACCGAGACACGGCAAATAGCTCAAGCTTCGGCGTGGTATCGCGTGATGCGGTACCAAGAAATTTATGCTCGTGTATGGAGATTCGCATCATGGTTCATGTTGCCATCATCATGATTATCACGTTCTTCTGTAGGGTCTTGCAATCTCTGGAATTGGTGAGACAGGGATAGAAAAGTCGAGGTGGTTGGTGATCTCGTTCTCGACGGAGATGTTTGATGAAGATTGGGAGATAGGAACAAGGAAATTCAAGATTCGTAAGTGCCGGCAATTCACCTCGAAGGCATGCATAAATCCAAGTCGTGAATATTTGCGATTGCGGCCATTCGTGCCGATGTAGAATAAGCAATACTATGCACTGATGAGCGCAGCACAACTGCACCCAGATCCACCTCGTATCGAACGAAAGAAAACAATACCATGACTTCCTACTCCGCAGTAGCTCGTTTCAATAGTAGCATGTGGCTACAAGGATGCCGCGAACCGTGAAGAAGATCGATCTTGTCGATCCCATCCATCGTCCTCCGACTCCGAGTCCACAATCACCTTTCGTATTCGTATGTCTTCTCCATCTTCAACAACCCAGCACCGCCGCCCAGGAATCCTGAAGAGATTAGATTCAAATCCATCAACCTGACACAAACTATCGAACACACCCATCACGAACGACAGTTGCCAAGCCGGTCGACCAGCTCACAAAGCGTCTTGCAAGGTTGCAAACTTGTCAACAGTAATTCCCAATCGGGACAGAAAGTTCAGATAGGATCTGGTAAAGCCCCACATTGGGGTGAAGTTTCGCCCGTTTTAGCTCTGCAAGGGAGATTTGCAAGTGATGTGCAGCCCCTCCCGATGCCAGCCGGGGCTGCCGAGTGCCGACTACAACTGCATGTCTATTTTGTTCTGGCTTCTGTTCTGTTTCGTTTGGATGCAGTACGGCTTGGGAGAATGTTTGGTAGCTGGACGTGAATACCGGTCGCGTTGTAGAATTTTGTGAGTGACAATCCTTGGTTCGACTCGAGATGGAGCTTGCGTCGCAAGTCCTGCTTAACAGTCGTCGCCCTTCTTGCCCCCTTGGCAGTGACACTTCGAAAAAGCGTTCAGCCGACAAAAGCTTTTCTGCACTTCGTTCGAAAGTTTGTGACGATATATTCGTCCAAACAGTAGATGATCGTCACTCGAACAGGCCCGACTAAAAGGCACACCAAGACTGACTCGTCACTTGCAGGCAAGCAACCTCCGCGGACAACAATAATTCTCGACAGTTCGACTGCTCAACTTCAGACGGATGCGCCTCTAGTTCAGAAATGGGTAGGTAAGCACACGAACATCGCAATTCTGATCAAAGTAGCTTTCGTGTTGTGGGTTTAGTCTTGTCTTCTTCAGGAAGATGCTCACGTCAAGACCTGCTGCGGGAAGGAGGTATCACAGTGTAAGGTCTCGTATCCAGGAGAAAAGACGTTTTGACGCACGGAGGAGCGGACTGTGTCCAGATGCTAGGTGATGGGACTATAAGTAGTGTTGACAGGTCGCGTGGTTTGGTCGTTCATCATCGTCAAGGCCACGCTTTCTCTCGTGTGCTGCTGTTCTCTCCACACTTCATCTCTTCTTTTATCGCACAACAGCTCGTTATTCTCAGTCACTCTTTCTGACATATTCGACTTTCAATCACTATGAAGTCTACTTTTGCCATTGCGGCCGCTTTGGCCCCGTTGGCTTTTGCTCAGGGCACTCTTGATGTCCAGCAGATCAACAATGCGCCAGCGCCGACTGCTACTGCTCCTCCGGAGGTGAACAGCGTTGATATGGCGGCTGTTGAGGCATCGCTTTCTTCGGCGGTGTCTGCTGCCACTGCGACTGCTACTGCAGCACCAGCGAAGTTCCGTATGGCTCGTGCCGCTGATCCAACTTTCTGGTGGCCAGGCAAAGATAACGACTGCAATCCTTGGACCTGGTGGAAGCCATGTAAGATCTCGATGCATCCTGTCGATTTTGATGCTCTTGCTGACTGTGATTTTGCAGGCCAGCCAAAAAATCCTGGTCACCCAAATCCGAACCCACAGCCAAACCCTCACCCCAACCCCAACCCCAACCCCAACCCCAACCCAAATCCAAATCCGAACCCAAACCCAAACCCCAACCCTCAGCCTCAGCCAAAGCCAGATAATGCGTGCCAGATTCAAGAGCCTGGTGCTGGCCCAGCTATCAGAGATCCAGATACTCCAGCTGCCTTCTTGAACAACCAACAGATCAAGGACGCCGTCGCCAAGGCCTCGACCCCAAGCGGCTACAAGCAGGTCTTCCAGAACCTCCAGGCTGCGTACCAGGGCGCTTCTTACCTCACATACAAGAACCTCGACTCGTACAGCCCAGAAGCTTGCGCCGCCTTCTGCAACAGCGAGAAGTGCAGCAGCTTTAACATCTACTTTGAGCGTGCCCCATCTGTCAACCCCAACACAGATGCCAAGAACGAGACTGCCAACTGCCCCAACCCACCTTCAACCACCTACATTCGCTGCGCCATCTACGGCGCTGCCATTGACGCCAAGGGAGCCACCAACAGCGGCCAGTTCCGTGATCAGTTCCAAGTCGTTATCGCAGGCTCCAACGGCTACACCAAGCCAGGCGCACCCATCTCTTGCCCAGGCTACCAGACACCTAAGCCATGTGACGGTGCCATCGGCGACAAGGGCAAGGACTGGTGGCTCGGCGACAAGTTCTTCCCAGGTGGATTCAACCCAGATTTCTGCCGCATCTTCGCCAAGGTCCAAACCGCGAAGAACATTGCTGCTGCCAAGGCCAAGGGCTCCAAGAACTACTCTCCTTGCAACTCGTTCAATGCCTTCGAGGTGTACGAGGATGGCGAGATGGTCGGAACGTACTGCAAGCTTTTCACTGAGAAGCTTCCAGTTGCGTGGGCCGAGTGGAAGAAGGAGATTATCTTTGGTAAGACTTGGGAGTGCAAGAACTCGTGGTTCTACGATATTATCAACAAGGACTTCGGAAAGTTTTAGATGGATGTGAGGGGAGGAAAGAGGGATGCGGAGGGAGAGGAGAGGACGATGGAGTGATGCTTCCTGAAATACACGAGTGATGGTTGACTTCGAGCATAATGACTTGTTTTGAAGGTGTACTTGGCCCACAGGACTTGTAGGATATAATCCAATATGCAATAAGAGGATTTGCTCATCGCCGAATGCATATTTCTTGTAATGATCATTGATGCGCGGACTTGTCCGGGCAGACGACTGTTGAAGTCGAATGGTGACATTTGACCTTGTGTAATTGCTGGCGTGATGTGGCGCTCATAGCTCCCGCCTTGGCGGAGGTGTATTCTCGATCTGACAGATACCGGCCATTTCGATCAGGCGGCGAGGTGAAGTCAATGTAGAAAACACGCAGAGCACGTGCTGTATAGAGTAGCAGTGAGAGTTTGCGGGTGAAGAGGAGGACGGTGAGACAGGTTGTCGCAGGTAGGAAGGAGCCGTCGAACAGTCCGGGATCTGCGACGGGGATTGTACGTCAGGCGAGGCAGGTGCGGCCATGTGATTGGTCCGCTTTAATTACAGCTGCTCCATCGCGAACAAGCAGCCGGCACCTCCTTGTGCCTGGCAACTGTCCACCGTCCGACACGCTTTCTTCAGCAACCACCACCTCCGCCGCCCACACCCCCGGCCGCCGGCGACGACCTCGACGACCTCACCACAGCCATGGACGGCTCCGAGCGGACGCCCACGCCGGACGCCTCGGCGCGAGAACGACTGCCCAACCTGTTCGAGGTCCTGTCGCGGAGGACACTGGCGCCGGTCAGTCAACAGCGGCCTACGGTGCTGCGCGACCCATTGGAACCCCCATTGACGTGTATCTCCAGGTCGACCTATTCTCCTTCTACATTTACATGCGCGACGTGCAGCGCTCCGTCGATTATCTCGATTTCTGGTAGGCCTTCAGCGGGAAAAAGGAATGCAGGACGGAAGCGCAGACTGACCGCGTCCAGGCTCGATGTCTCTCAACACATGTCCCTCTGCCGTCACTACGTTCGCGAATTGAGAAGATCCGTTCTCGTGTCGACCCCCGAACTCGACAAGTCCGGCAGTAAACGATCGTCGCAGATTCTTGACAACTACAATGGCCTCGAGCGCACGTCAACCGAGCCAGGGCCCAGTGGTGCCTTCAACGACAAATCGAAAGAGCGGCAGACACCTGATCAGCGACTTAGCGCGTTCCTGAGAGCAGAGAATGGCACAGGTCACAGCCCGCAGAACAGCACAGGCAGCCACAACAACTCGGACTCAGGCCTCGAGCAACCGCGACCGAGTTACATGACCGGCCAGGACGGGTCACCTTCGTCAGGGAACATCAACAGCAACAACAGCCCGCAGCACACGGTCGCGCGAGCAGACATTCGAGCGTCGGCGGAGAAGATCCTGTACACATTCTTGCTCCCGGGAGCAGAGCGCGAGATCATCCTTCCTCAAGGCACTCTCAACGACATCACACACGCCATCGAGAACGAAGGCCGAGACGATCCCGAAGTCTTTGACGCAGCTAAGGACTACGTCTTCCAGGCAATGGAGCGCGACGCCTTCCCTGGCTTTCTCCGAGCGAAGGCATTGGGCAACATTGTGCAACCCTCGATGATGCTCCGCCTCATCTGCGGCCTGGTCGCCATCTTCGGCGCGCTCTGGACGGCTTTCGTCCTCATTTTCCTCAACCGCGACCGCGCGACACGGTGCTGGCTCATACTTCCCTTCACCATCGGCATCTACCTCCTTGCGACACATCAGTACATGCTGGATCCTATCCTTGCCCTGCTCGGCTTCAGTGAATATACATTCTTCAGCTTCGCGAGGATCAAGGAGCCCTTCGTCAAGAAGCTGCTGGGCCAGAGAGCGCTGATGTGTTTGTTCTGGATCACGCTCATTGATGTGGCGTTATTATGTCTCTTCATTTTCGTCCCAGGCAAGCGCCTTTGATTGATCGCTTTTTTCTACTCGACAAGACCCAGATGCAAGAGTTATACCTTTTGAAGAAAACGGAGCGTCGGCGTTATACGGAGTCCTTTTCCGTCCATTCTTTGGTCCTTTTTCATTGTGATATGTGGGTGGTGCGGGGTGTGGTTGGATGGTGGAATGCCGAAGTGTGGATGGTTGTTGATCATCATCACATCATCACGTCTCTTTTTAATGGGTTTGGATATTTCATTTTTGAAGTGGTGGAAGGAGAGAAGAAGAGTGAAACGGCCGGGACAGGATTCATGGCCTGGGATCAAAGTATGGTCCTTGAAGAAATCCAAACTTCTTGCGCGAAGTGCGTGCGGTACGCTGCTGCTGCTCTCTGCTTTTTCGACAGAGTTGAATTAGCTTATTCGTCTGAGCTGCAACTAAGAGATACCACTTTTTTCCTTGTTGTCAGCCACCTTCGTGGTGTCCTGTGGTATGTTGCCCTTCTCATCGTCTCGCTCCTGGCTTACGTGTGGCCAGAGGAATAGTGAATGCGATTGAACTGCTTGGAAAACCTACTTTCCCATACACAAGCGTGGACAGCAAGTGAAGGCGTATTCTCCAGCTCCAACCCATGGCTTATATACATGTTATTCGAAACGGAAAATGCTCTACCTTTGGCTTCGCCACACAGTCGGCACTGACTGACGACAGGGACATATTACACTTATCGTGACGATCTGCGGTGCGTAAGGTACCGCCAACTTCCTCGCGATGCGACTACAAATGGCACCGCATCCGCTTTGGACCATGCATGTTCCATGCTATTCACTGCTCTCGGACCGTCGACGAGCGTCAACCTGAGAGCCATCCCAATACCTATATAGGCAAGTTACACCGTCGGGAGAGGGCTAGACGCACATAAGAGCATCCGGAGATTTTGTAAGCGGGACGGCCCAGCGATGCTTAAATTGTACGGAAAACTGCAATATGCGAATCCTTACTCTGTTTCAAAACTACCCTCATCGAGTTGCAGGGAACTAGATTAGACACGGGCTATGCCAACTGTTCCTCCCGTGTAGGAGACAGTGCGTAGTAGGGCGAAATCGATTTGCACGGGAGCAAAGCGTATGTTCAGCAAAACTTAATTTCATGGTAGGGCACCACGGTGCCCTATAACAGCGTGCATCTTGC